AATCAGAGAGACACTTACTAAGCATGTGAAAAAGGGGTCTGTAAGAATACAAAGGATCTAGCACAAAGCTAAAATGTATTCTTGGTCTGGATCTATTCTGAAAAACAAAAGAAAAAAACATTATATGTCAATTATACCTCAATAAAACTGAAAAAAAAAAAACACTAGGGAGAGTCTAACACAACCTGTTCCACCTTTTTTTGAAGTTTTATTTTATAAATGACAAAAAAGTCTGTTCTGCATATGAACTCTGTAGATATATGAAAAGCTTAATAGTTATTTCTCATGCCCAAATATACCTTCCACTCTAATGTTTTCTAAACCAATCCTTTGATAGTAACAAAAAAAATACAGAATCAGCTATCAAACCTACTAAGGCTATTAATGAAATCCATAATTCATTTGCATAGTCTCTTAAAGTTTATAGATTACTTTTACACATATTATCTCAGCTGACCCTATCCTTTTAAAAATGAAGAAACACCCCAGAGATACTAACAGACTTATTTAAAGCCTCATAACTAGTGAGAGGTAGAGACAGGCCGTACTTTACTAAGCCACCTCCTAAGTTTATAAAGAAATCACTCTTTTGTATAGAACATTCCTTTTTTAAAAAGGTTTTTACTGATTTTATTATTATTTTGTTTTTATATCTTCAACCGAGGATATTTTTCCACTGATTTTTAGAAAGAGTAGAAGAAAGAGGGAAAGACAGAGATTAATACCGATGTGAGAGAAGCACATAAATTGGTTGCCTCCTGCACAAGCCCTGACCAGGGCCTGGGCCTGGGCCAGGTAGGAGCCTGCAACCAAGGTACATGCCTTTGACCAGACTGGAACCCAGAAACCTTCAGTCCTCAGTCCGGTGCTCTATCCACTGAGCCAAACTGGCTAGGGCGAGAATATTTCTTTATTTTAGTATAAATTTTTCTCAGTGAATTTTCTCTTACATATATTTTCTGAAACTAATTTTAAATAGCAATTTGATATATACTGAAACATAGTTTAATATACAGTATAATATATATTCTACACTAATCTCAATAATATATTTCATTTTTAAAAAATAAAAAAACTATTACTCAGAATGAGCAAACTCCAAACTGACTACCACAAGTAGCTTTTGACTAATAGTTAAGAAGTCAAAATAATGCTTTAGGGCAATACAAGACAATCCAAAAATCAAACGTGTCTTATTCATTTAATTTACTATATCAGTGACCAGAGAAATATTCTTTCCTTAATTTGTGTTTTCATATCTTAAGGCCCTGGCCCGTGTGGCTCAATGGTAGAGTGTCGGCCCGCACACCAAAAGGTCTCGAGTTTGATTCTGGGTTAGGGGCACTACCTGGGTCGCAGGTAGATCCCAGGCCCTGTGCGCGTGCGGGAGGCAACCGATGCATGTGTCTCTCTCACATTGACGTTTCTCTCTCTCTCCCTCTTCTTCCCTTCCACTATCTCTAAAAGTCAATGGAAAATATCCTTGGATGAGAATTAACAAAAAACAAAACAAAACAAAGCAAAAGAGTTAAGACACTATGATATTTTGATTAACATCCAAAACATAATATCATTGTGAACATAAATAAAAAACCAATCCCCAAATTTTGATATAATTTTAAATAGGTTTCATAATTATGTCCCCTCTAGAAAGTGCAGAATAGTCATCTACTTTACAGTTGTTAAACACTAGTGTTAACTAGTGATCAACTTTTAATTGGTGAAAAAAAATCAAGTTAACCCAGATTTGAATATGACCAAAGAGTTTTGGATTATAACAAGGTTGAACTAGACATTTCATGTGTCCAACATTTAGACATGCTCTCTGTGCATGCTCCCTGGAGTTCTCCTCCAGGTAGGAAAAACCACCAGGTAAAAGAATAATTACAATGCAATGTGAGAAGGACTATCTATAATGAAGGCTTGTACAAAGTACCATCTTTGGCTTGCTTGTGATCTGGTCTTGTGAGATAAGATAAGTATCAGTGTCTAAAACATGCCTCCAAAGCTGAATATACACTCACGAACCCGTATCACCTTTCAATACTGTGCCATGCCCAGGTGTCTGGTCTCTTCCTGATTTGCATATCCAGGCAAGATAGCCAAGGCCGATAGCACTACCATCTCAAGTTAAGGCACAAACTCAGAAGTAAAGGCACAAACTCAGATCAAATACTACTCAAAGGGAACACACATCCCTAGTCGATGAGTACAGTTCCTGTCTTCTTCTTCAGTTTGTGAAATGCCTTGGAATCTTTCTCCTCAGAATGCTAAGTTTAAAAGCTTTGTTAATTCTGTGAGTGAATTAAGCCTATTATTGCTCTAAAACTAAACACTGCATATTTCTGAACCTTTTATATACTGATTTTGGTTGGGAAAAGGTTAAATGAGGTAAAAAGGTGACAAACAGAACTTTTCTTTTGCAGAGTAAAATAGTATGCATCTTTAAAAAGATTTCCCAATGCCCAGCTCATCGCTCAGTGGTTGAGCGTTGACTTATGAACTAGGTCACTGCTGGGTTTCAGGTCGGGGCACATGCCCAGGTTGTGGGCTCGATCCCCAATGGGGGGCATCTGGGAGGCAGCTAATCGATGGTTCTCTCTCATCATTGATGTTTCTTTAAAAAAATTTTTTTTAATCTTTATTAATTTCAGAGAGGAAGGGAGAAGAAGAGAGAAACAGAAACATCATAGATGAGAGAATCACTGATTGGCTATCTCTTGCACACCCTACACTGGGGATTGAGCCCACAACCCAGGCATGTGCCCTGACCAGGAATCGAACCGTGACTTCCCGGTTCATAGGTCTATGCTCAACCACTTGAGCCATGCCGGCTGGGCTCATTGATGTTTCTATCTCTCTCCCTCTCCCTCTCCCTTCCTCTCTCTGAACTCAACAAAAACATATTTAAAAAAATAGAAATAAAAGATAAAAAGGTTCCCCAAATGCAGAACGTATCTTCTTTCTTCTTTTTGTAGAGATCATTAGCAAATTATTCTCTTCCCACATAATGCAATTTAACTGGGTTAAGGACAGAACAATTTTATAGGAAGATTTAAAAATATATATTTTGCCCTAACTGGTTTGGCTCAGTGGATAGAGCGTCGGCCTGTGGACTAAAAGGTCCCAGGTTCGATTCCGGTCAAGGGCATGTACCTTGGTTGCGGGCACATCCCCAGTGAGGGGTGTGCAGGAGGCAGCTGATCGATGTTTCTCTCTCATCGATGTTTCTAACTCTTTATCCCTCTCCCTTCCTCGCTGTAAAAAATCAATAAAATATATTTTAAAAATACAATTATATATTTTTACTGATTTTAGAGAGGAAAGGAGAGGGAGAGATAGAAACATCAATGACAAGAATCATTGATTGGCTGCCTCCTGCACACCCCATCACTGGGGATCGAGCCTAGAACCTGGGCATGTGCTTAGACCAGGAATTGAAACGTGACCTCCTGGTTTATAGGTCGACACTCAACCACTGAGCCATGCTGACCGGGCAGGAAGATTTTTTTTTAAGTTGTAAAACTGGTATTCCCAAAGTTTGGGAAAGAGGATGCACTTAATTTGCTTTGATTACAACATAGCTTGGCCAACTACACATCATTGAGGTTCCCTAAGGATTTTCCAGCTTTCCATGTCATAATTTCCACAGAGGAAGCTGTAAGAGATGCTAGTTGTCTTGAAACACAATTCCAACTAAACCAAAAAGGATTTGAAGAGGAAGTTTAGAAATATAATTCCATCCAATAGGACACATAAGTTGCAATCCAAACATCATTAAGAATTCCCTGTGGTGCAGTATCTTTTGGGATGGTAAAGTCCAGTTCTATGTGTTAGGTTGAATAGCTCAAACAAATGCTGGTACTCATTTAACAATAGTTAGAAAACCTTCTGGGAAGGTCTGATCTGACCTCACTGCAGTTTCGACATCTCCATCTAAACATCTTGCCTTCTGTGGACATGAAAAGCTTCCAAATACTAAAGGTTTCCAAGAGTTAATCAGTCAGTCTCTCAAAGGCTCTACCTAGTCAGTTTAACATACTTGTTAAAGTAAAAATCCAGTCATCCTGGGTCAGGATTCACGTTAAGCAATATAAAAGCCTGTGTAAATGATATTTAAAGATATGAGAAAATATTTGTAATATACTGATATGTGAAAAAAAGATAAAAATTTTAAAAAATTAAAAAGCAATTCACAAAACACACAGAATGTGATTACATTTACTAAAAAGTATATGTACACATGTGAGGATTTTTAACCAACAGAATTCATGGCTATTATAGAAAGTTTGGAAAATAAAGGATAAAACATATAGCTATAATCCTATAACTCAGAGGTTACCATTTAATATTTTGGGGGTCTATATTTCCAATGTTTTTCTATTCATATATACATCCTCCCAATAACTATAATTTTAAAAAATATAGGTTTGGTTTTTTTGTTTTTTGTTTTTTTTTTAGTTATTAGTCTTGCCTTGATTTATACCTAATGATATCCTAAGAAACTAGGGCAAATTATAAATTCATGCACAAGAGTGGTCTAAACCTTGGCTGCATATTAGACTCACTTGGGGAATGTTTAAAACTCCCAATGCCTGGGCCACCCCCCAGACCAATTAAATCAGAATCTCTGGAGATGGAACCCAGGCATCTGACTTTTTCAAAATTCCCCAGGTGATTACACTGAACAGCCAGGGTTAAGAACCACTACTTTGAGCAAAACATGATCTTAAACTTTGATGTATACACAAATCACATTCAGATCTTGTCAAAATATAGATTCCAGTTCAGTAGGTCTGGGGTGGGACCTGAGATTCTGCATTTCTAACCAGCCACTGGTCCAGAGACCAGACTTTGAGTAGCTTTAAGGTTCTGGGGAAAAAAGCCTTTTAAAGAACAGAAAGAAAAAATTATAGACACTAAAGCCCATATTCTCAACCACCACATAGGGAGGGGTGGTCTACAGTGGTTAAATAAAGAATTCATACTGGGAGTTAAAAGATGTTTCTAGGAAATAAGTTCTTATAAAACTAAAAGTTTGAAATAGCAACACATTTTTCAAGGGAAAACAGTCACTGGGGCTTAAATATTTTGTGTGCACAAAGGATGGAAGGCAAGCATGGGGGAGAAGAGAGGTGGGCAGTGAGGGAAAAAGATGAAATGTCTAAAAAATTGCTTGAAAAAAACAAAACCCTTGGCTACAGTGCTGGAAAAGGATAAACACTATAAGGGGACTTGCAGAATTTATTTCTCTGCCAAAAACATGTTTGGGAGCTAATACAGCTAATAAACTGAAGTTAGTGCAGATTAATAACCACCTTCCATCAACGCCCTCCTGGGGACATAAGAAGAGACCCAGGAGTATAAGTCTCCCCTGGCAGCGCTTTAGGAACCAACAACAAACAATGGACTATTTTCCCAAATGCTTCTCTTACTGTGCAGAGAGAACAAGAAGCACCTCAAAGATAGGGGCTCTTTGCAGCTTTTTGGCAACACAGTCTTCAAATTTCTAAACTTCACTAGAGATATAACAACAACAACAAATGAAGTTTTTTTCCCTGAGGGCTTTCCCATGGAAATTGAAAATGTTTAGCTTATTTTTAGACTGACAAAGTAAATATTTAAAAATATTCATAAGTCCCCACCAGATCATTATTCCTCCAAAATAACTTCTAAAAATAATAAAATAGGAAAACTTTCATATAACATTATCTGGCCCTAGCTGGTTTGGCCCAGTGGATAGAGCATTAGCCTGCGGACTGAAGGGTCCCAGGTTCAATTCCGGTCAAGGTGCAGGCTTGATCCCCAGTAGGGGGCATGCAGGAGGCAGCTGATCAATGATTCTCTCTCATTATTGATGTTTCTCTCTCCCCCCCCCCTTTCTCTCTGAAATCAATTTAAAAAATATACATGTATAAATAAAATTATCTGGAGCAATGATATAAACCAGCTGGTACACTTTATCAGACACTTCTTATCAAATGGGCCATACCTAAGAAAATTTCTGTTTAAATGAATAGAAGAAACTAAAGGGGAAGACTTTACCAAGAATTCTGTTGTTAGATGATTCATGTTACACATCTTTTGGGTGTAAGAATCTTTGGCAGTAACATGCACAATAGTAACAGTATCACTGATCTATAATGATCATGGCTAACATGTACTGAGTGCCAGATATTGGCTAAGTTCTTTATCCAGATCTAAATTAATCCTCACAAACCTATGAAATAGGCATTATTATAGTCCTTATATGGATGAGGAATCTGTGGTTTAGGGATGGCAAGTAACTTGCTCAAAGGTCATAAAGCCAATAAGTCATAAAGTTGGTTTTTGAGTGCCTGATTACAACATCCATTCTCTTAACATTCATATGACACAATCTGCTATCCTATCTGCCCAGTCTGTATCAGGAACAGACTATACTCAAGACCTGGGGATAGAAGATGAATACGTCATGATCCCTAAAGCTTATGGTATAGGCCAGTGGTCGGCAAACTCATTAGTCAACAGAACCAAATATCAACAGTACAATGATTGAAATTTCTTTCTTTCTTTCTTTTTTTAAATGAGAAGTGTTATCTGTTAGAATTCTTTCAGTTTTTTATTTTTTAAAATATATTTTATTTATTTATTTTACAGAGAGGAAGGGAGAGGGATAGAGAGTTAGAAACATTGATGAGAGAGAAACATCGATCAGCTGCCTCCTGCACACCCTGTACTGGGGATGTGCCCGCAACCAAGGTACATGCCCTTGACCAGAATCGAACCTGGGACCATGGAGTCCGCAGGCTGACGCTCTATCCACTGAGCCAAACTGGTTAGGGCTAAAATTTCTTTTGAGAGCCAAATTTTTTAAACTTAAACTATATAGGTAGGTACATTGTTATTAACTTAATTAGGGTTCTCCTAAGGCTTAGGAAGAGCCACACTCAAGGGGCCAAAGAGCCGCATGTGACTCGCGAGCCACAGTTTGCCGACCACGGGTATAGGCCAAGCAGTCCCTCCAGGACATGAGGCTAGAAAGGCACTTCCAAATATTGCAGGATACAGGATGCCTTTTGGTGTTATGGAATGCCAGCTCAGATTATGCTGCTAGTGTATTCCACAGGGCAGAACTCATTCACTTTTGGGGTCCCTGATTCTTGGTCTTTTAT